ATTTTTTTTTTTTTTTTTTTTTTTTTTTTTTTTTTAGGTTAATTATAAATTATGTGAAGAAAATGAGATTATATACAATAAATTAAATAATAAAGAATTAAAGATAACAAAAAGTATTTTTTTGAATTCCTAATAAATAAGTCTATTCACTTATGTAAAATAATTGTGGATATAATTTTTGGATAAATATATTACATAATGTAAATACATTTTCTTTTTTTTTGTGAAAAAAAAAAAGAAATTTCTATTTAATATTTATTTTTTCCAAATTTTTTTTTAATTTTTTATATTTTTTGTTATATTTGTAAATATTTATAAAATTATTAACTATAGTTACATAATTTTTTGTATTTAAGTAAATGCCTTATGGTAAAAATGAACTTATTACACAATTGTAATAAAGAACGTAAAATAATAATTGACGAGATGAAAAAATTAAAATATAATTATAAAAAGATACGGAGTATCAAACACATAATAAAAGATATTAGCATTGAATTAACTAATAAAAAATTACTAGTATTTAATTTATCATATTTTAATATTTTTGTTTTGCTGATTATCTTTTCTTTAAAATACATTATATCCATAAAAATAGTACTTATTATTGTTAGTTTTTTTTATTTAAAATATTTAATTCATCATCTTCTTTTATTTTTATATAATTATAATCTCCACAAATTTAATGAAGTAATAAAACTACTATATAAATATGAATATGCAAAAATTGCTAATGGTATTAATGTAAAGAATGATTTAATTATAGACGATATATATAACAGTATATATAGAATAACAAAGTCTATTTTGTCTATATACTTCTTTTTTATGAAAAATACTTTTTCCTATTTATTTGAATATAATAATATAGAAGAAATATATAATTCCTCTTGTTCAAAAAATTTGAAAAAATTATGTTATCTAAAAGATTTTTACTTTAGCTTATTTATTGTACTTTTTGAATTAAAAATAAAAAAGAGCTATTCAGAAAAGGAAGAAAAGAGAAAACTTTATAAAAATATAAGAAATATATTTAAAGAAAAATATAAAAAAGATTATAAAATGATGGAAACAAGTGAAAATAGTCCTTTCATATTCTATTTTTATCAATCCTTTCATGATATAATAAAGTATATGTTTTATTTTTCTCACTTTTTTATTTTCATATTTATATCCATATTTTACCTTTCAAGAAGTTACTTTATTTTATCATCCTATAAAAATATTTTAAAAAAAAAAAGTAATTTATTTCTTACAAAGAGTGAAAAAATAAATAAACAAAACATTTTAGAAGGAAAAAACGAAATAATATCACTCCTGGTAGACTCATTAATTCTATTGAACTTCATTCACAAAAATGATAAAGACGAGGAAAATTATAAATTAATAGAAAATAAATTACACAATTCAATAAATTTAATAAAATCATTAAAAAATAAGATAACAAAAAAATTAGAAACAAAAAGTTTTATTCGAAACAATAATTTAGAAATAAAAGATATAAAAGAAGATGAAAGCAAAAAGAATTTCATTAATTACTTACCTTATGAGGAAAAAAATGTGTATGAAACTGAAACTAAATTAATTGAAAACAGCATTATTGAAAATATTGAGAAGGAAAAATATTTAACTTATGATATTTATTATTATGATAATAAAGAAGGTGAAAATTGTGAAGAGAAAAAAAATTGTAATGAACAAAAAAATAATTATAGTATATTGAATGGTCCTAATAATAGAATGATAAGCAAAGAAGAATTAAATGAAGAAAATGAATTACAAAATTCTATTAATACATATTCATATATTAACAAATATAGCAATAACAAAAAAGAGATAGAATACAAAAAAGAATATTGTATTAGTTCGAATGATAAAGATATATATAAGGAAATATGTATTGATAATTTGTTAAAAGAATTAAGAATAAGATTTAAAAAAAGGAGAAATTACAAATATGTGAAGAAAAAGTTATGTTATGATAGTAACAAAAAGGATTTTTGCATAAAAAACATTTCATCAAATGATATTGACTTGTTAAATGAATATGATAAATGCACAGAAGAAACTACAAAACAACATAAAATTGTAAAAATTTCTGACAATAATGAAAATATCCAAGAGACGGTTTCAGATAAAATAATTATGAAGAATAATTATTTATGTAAGGAAGAAGATCAAGATATATATGAATCAGATTTCTTAAAACCAATAGAAAATATTTCCTCTTTTAGAGAAAAAATTGCATCATCTATTTTACAAAGAAACCTAATTCAGAAATAATTATTTAATTTGTTTTTTAATAAAATTTTTATTTTTTTAACATTATGTATTTTAAAAACATTTGTTAAAATACATATAAATTAATAAAACATTAATAAAATAACTATATATATTATGAATAATATATAATAAATTCCCAAAAACAAAACTTATTCATATTCAATGCACTTACATATATATTATTACTTAATATTTTTTACATTATTTGTTTTTATTTAAAAAAAAAAAAAAAAAAAGGAGAAAAACAAAAAATATGAAATATAAGAAATCTAATAGATATCTTTCAATGATCAAGGGTAATTATTTTTTTACTTTTGCTTACAATATTAATGAATTCAAAACTGTATGAATTCATTTCATTAGAATAATTCTATAAAGAAGTAAACATTTATAAAATATTTTTTTTTATTTTATATTATTTTAATATGATTCATTGTTTTATAATATTTTATTTAATTTTATCTTTTCACTTACTAATAATAGTATGGTATCCAAATGATTTAATGGTGTATATGCTAAAATATTATAAGAAAGATATTTACTAAAAAAAAAAAAAAAAATGTATATATATATATATAATTATTAAAACAAAATATCATATATAATTTTTATATATTATTGTAATATCTTTTAAAATTAATTTTTTATTTTTTATACACACAATTATTTATGCTTATTAATATTTTAATTTATTAATTTATTAATTTATTAATGAATATGTTTATATATATATATATTTAGTTATCATTACTCATCATTAGAAGTAATTAATTCATCTTCTTTTTCATTGTATAAAGTGAAAAGCTCCTGGTTTTTCAAATTATAATAAAAACCATTCCTCCTTTTACACATGTTATATCTCATTTCTTTCAAAACATATACATCAGGGAATACTGATTTATATGGATAATTTATAGAAATGCTATTATTATTATTATTATTATTATTATAGTATTTTTGAAATGTTGCTTGAATGGATGAATTCAGTGCTATAAAACTCTTATAATAATTTTTATTATAATAATAATTAATATTCATATTCATTACACCTTGAAAGGTACAATTTTTTGTATCACCAGTATTACTATTTTTTAATTTTATTATTTTCCAATTTTCATAATTAAACAACACGTCAACAGAATTTACTTCATTTTTATTTGTTAATAAGTAAATTTCATTAAATAGAGAAAAAATGTAAAACATAAATTCACAATTTTCTTTCATATCTTTGTTTAACTCATCATTTTCATTAAAACTTGATACACTCTTCTTTGATTCATCAGGAATAATAAAGTTCTTTTTTTTCTCATTTTTAAATAAATCATTTATTATTAAATTGTGCTTAAGATCATAAGATAATTTATTCATATAAGAATCATACACATTATTAAAATATTCAAAGCAATACAAATTAAATATCAATTTTAAATACTTATATTCGTATTCCTTAATATATGGGTTAATATTATTTAAATCATACTTTTTTATTTCAATCAAGCTTAATAAGCAAGAACCATAAATAAGAATATGAGAATTATTAATTATAGACATTTTTAAAGTACTTAGATATTTGTCTAAATTTTCATTATTAATAACATTCTTTTTTTCTATTTGTTTTTCATTATTATCAGTATTAATGTTATTATTTATATTTATATGGTTATAACTTTTAATAAAGAAACTAAAAAAATCTTCATTATTAATTACATTATTTATAAGTATATAAGTGGTATATTTATAAATTGGTTTAGATAAAAAATTAACTATAGTTAATAGTAAATAATGATTTTCATTTATTAATGAGTAAGCCAAATAAGAAAAATAACTTATACTACTAGGTAAAAAACAAATTTTTAATATTTTAAAGGATGGATTAGAATAAAGCTCATTCATGATATATTCTTCTTTCTTTAATTCTTTTATAAAACTGGAAAAAGAGATATTTTTATTTTTATTAGTTTCTTTGAATTTTGTATCCTCTTTAATTTTATCATTTTTATCATAGAATTCTGTCTTTAATTTGGTTCTTTCTGTTTCTATTACTTCCTTTTTGTAATTTTTTTCTTCTTTCTCCTTTTTAAAAACATTTTCTAGATTACTTAAAACATAAATATTTTTATACATGTGAATAAACATATTTAAGTTTTCTTCACTAAAAACATCTTTTTGTTCATCTGTTTCGAACTCTTCTTCATTTTTATTTTTACATATGTTTTCTTTTTTACAATTATTTAGAAAAGCTTCACATTTTTGTTTTTCATTATCTACTTTTTTTTGCAAATGAGTATCATAGTTATTGCTTTTATATAGTAGAGGTAGATATGTTTTAGGTAAGTTTCCATTACTATGCTTTATCGACTTAATTTTTTTTTTCAAAAATTTTTTAATAGTTCTCAAATTAGGGTAAGTAAATATAATTAAATTTAAGCTTTTGTCAATACCTATAAAAATATTCTTGTACAAATTATGTTGATTAATACAATGAAAATCTCTTAACAAATAACACATATCTTTCTTTTTTTTTAATCCTAAGTTCTTATTTAATATTTCTTTTTTGTTTTCTTGAATATTTTTATTCAAATTTTCATTATTAGTGTTTTCTTTTAAATTACAAGATTTTTCAAAAAATAAATTTTCATCCAATTTTTTTTCATTTATTTCTATTAATGAATATTCACTACTTTCCTCATATTTATGTATATTTTCATTTTTTATTGGATATAATTTTTTTGTTTTAATACTATCATAACTTAAAACACATTTTTTGTTTATTTTTTCATAATTGTAGAAGATGTTATAAAAATATAACTTTTTATTTATATACATTATAATCCAATCTAAATTATTATAAATATAATGATAATTATCAGGAGTACTAACAAATAATTCTGCCATTACATTTTGTAAACCTAGTGTTTCTTCATTTTCATGCAACTTACTTATTAACTTCTCTTTATTGTTAATTTGATCATTTGTTTCATTTAGAGAAGGTTCTTCTACTTTATTTTTTAACGAATTTAATTTATCTTCTAATTCCTTATTTTGAGAAATTTTTATATTTACCATTTTTTCTTCTAGTTCATCTTTTTTATTTTTCATTGCTTCTTCTTTTTTTTTCAATTTAATTAAAAAGGTATTTTTCCTTGTATTCTTCATTCTTTTAAAAGCAAAATAATAGCCTAAATTACAAAAGATTCTATTTAATTTTTTTACATTATAGGAAAATGTCTTTTTTATACTTATCATTGTTTTATATATTAAATACATTTTATATATATAATCACAAACTTTTCTTTTCATTTCTTTTTTCTTCTCTAAATATACTCTGTAATATTTATTAATCCAATTATTTATCTTTATTACTGTCACACACCTTCTGAATCTCATAATTCTTATTTCTTTGAAAATTTCCTTTTCTTTCTTTAAAGATACATTATCATTTAAAGAACAATTGTTATAAAAAAAATAATTTATCTGAGTATATATATGTGATTTCATGAATATATAATTTGTTCCAATCTTAAAATTTTTTGAATCATCAAATAATCTCATGAAATAATATATTGTATCATCTTTACCACAATACTGTAATTCACTAGGTATACAATTTCTACATTTTTCTAATAATTTATCTTTTAATATTTTATGAGATAACCCATTATTTATTATTTTAATCATTTCATTTGCTCCACATTGTTTTAATTGTGCATAGACTAAACGTCTTTTGAAATGATCTTTTTCCATTTTTTCATTTGGTAAAATACATCTTATGTAATACATATCAGTTTTTTGTAAATTATTAAATAACCTATCTAGTTCTTTTATATACTTTTTACTAACACTTAATATATTATTCTTAATGTTACTATTAGAACCAGATATATTATATACCATTGAGGAAGCACTTAAATTTGTTCTTTGCATTCTCATATTTACTAAACTATTTGCATTAACATTACTATATTTTCTATTATCACTTATATCAACTTTTAAAAATTTTTTACTGTTATTTAATTTATTTATTAACTCTTCTTTTTCGATAGAAGAGATATTTATAGTATCATTTTTTTCATTCTTCAAATAATTTTTATTATTTTCTAGGTAAATTTCGTCATTTTCTACTGATATTTTGTTATTTGAGCTTCCTATATTATTTTTTGATTTCATTCCTGTTTCAATATTTTCACATGTATAATATTTCTCTTTATTCTTTTTCAATATTCTATCATCTTGATCCCCATGACTACTTGTGAATTTATATTCTTCTTTTTCTTCTTCATACTTTTTCTCATTTTCGAATTCATCATCTCCTTTTAAAAATAAATTTGTGGATGTTTTGATTATATTTTCTATTTCTACTTCAATTTTATCGCTATTTTTATGTATCCAGTTATTTATATTATAAGTTACATGTCCAGCATAATGCTTTATGAAAAATTTATTTTTTTTTACATTCTGCCTTTTTTTAGTGTATTTATTATCTTTGTTATTTAAGAAACCATAAATGTTATTTTCAAGATAGCTTTTTTCATTATTTAATAAATAAGTAAAAAAGTGATCATCTACCTTTTTTTGTCCACTACTATTAAGCTTAGTTATATCATCTAAATTTGCAAACATTTTCTCAATAAAAGTGATAGTTTCTTTAAAATTAGGAATTTTTATATCATTCCATAATAAATTTTCTGACTTGTATATCACCTTTTCTTTTTCAATTTCATTGTTAATGTAATAATTATTTAATTTCTCATTTGCCAAATTGATACATAATTGTTCAAAATCATTACATGATAATTCTTCGAACCCATAAAGATCTAAAATAGATATAACATTAGTATTTAATGAATATATATGTTCATTCATTATTTGTTCTTTTTCTTCATTACTTAAGTTTGTTATATTTATATCATTTATTATTCTATTAAATAAGTTTTTATATATTACCTTTATTAATGTATGTAAAGTAGACAATGAATTATCTTTGTTTCTGTGTGTTCTTATTTGCTCGAATGATACATTAATATTCTTATATTTAATTGTATTTTGTAAATCGTTTAAATCTATTTTTAAACATTCACAAGCATTTTTATAGCTCTCACTTAATAAATCATCCTCATTAGGGTCTATTTCTCCTAGATGTATTATACCGGCTATAACGTCATAAAACTGATTAATTTTATTTTCATCGTAATTTATATAACGTAACCCATTTAATAAATATTCAAAATTTTTTTCATCTCTATGTCGATCTATTTCTATTGAATTATTTTTTTCTATACCATTGATCTTCTTTAAATTTTTCATTTTATATGCATCATTATTCAAAAGATTATAATAATGTATATCTCTAATTAAATTTCTTTTTTTTAATTGTTCGTCAGTTAATCCCCAAATTAGCTGATAAAAAACATGAAAATTTCTCTCCCCAATATTTTGAGTAATACATCTATTAATTTCTAGTAAAAGTATTAATATTTTAATGTTAGAAAAACAATAATTAAATATAGTATCATCTTTTTTTTTTTTTTCTACAAATATTAAATCATTAATTCTTCCACATCTACTACTATTATTATTTTTTATGGTTTTTGCATTACTCATAGATTCTATAATATTATTAATATAAATAAGCTTATCAATTCGTTCATAATTTATAACTTCACTCATTTCACCGAAACTACTTTTTTTTGATCTATTTTCATCCATCTTTTCATTTTTATCTTTCATATTTTTCATTTTTGAATCATCATTATCTATTAATTCTTTATTATATGATAATAATTCATTTTTTTCTGTTATTTCATTTTCATCCTCTTCATCTGAATTTTCATTTAAATAAGAGTTCATATTTTTATATATTTTATTTTTATCAGTATTGTTTTTGTTAAAAAATATATAATGAAAATATTTAAAAAGAAATTTGCAATTTTCTGTTTTTCCACTACCACTATGACCAGAAACAATAATTGTTTGTCTTTTCTTTTTTAATATCATATTTCTATATGCCATATTACCTATATCATAAATATGTGTTTGAAAATCTCTATTATTATTTATCTCATTATTTTTAAACTTAAATAAATAAGTATTCATACGTTCAACATTGTAAAGTCCCTTAATTTGTTTATATGGATTAATAGCTAATAATAATGAAGCATGAAACGTATAAATTTTATTTTTTTTATATCTGTTTCTTAAATTTTCCATAACATTTTCTTCATTAAGTTGCAATATATCTATATTGTTCTCACTATCAACCTCAATTTCATCTTTTAAACACCGTGTTACTTTATCTGCAGGTATATTTTCTAGTATGTTATCTTTTCCTAATAAGAAAAAAATATATATATATATATATTTAATTAATATATATTTATAAATATTATTGATATATTTTTTTTTTTTTTTCTGAATTTACTAACTTTTTAAGTTATATGTATTTTCCAATTTATTAAATGCACATATTTCCATTTTTTTATATGTATTATTATAGAAATACCACACATGAGTACATGAATATATATTTTCCTTTTCTTTGTTCTCTAGAGATAAATTCTCTTTAATCTTCTTTTCATTTTTTATTAAATCCTTTTTTTCTTCATCTTTGATATTTGATATGTTAGAATAATAAAAAGTTTCATTACTCTTAAATTTCAGAAAAGCCATAAGTTAACAGTTTATATTTTTCAAGAAAAAAATGAATGTGGGTATTCAATATTCTACCAAAACCTTTGGTACTTTAAGCTAATCATTCAAATTTGATTTATTTTCACTTATTTAAAACAATAAACTAAAATTTTCCTTGTCTTTTAATAAAAATAATAACAATTATAAACTTACAATTTTCTCTATTCAATATAATGCAAAAAAAAAAAAAAAAAAAAAAGACATATACACATAAAAATGCGTGTTTAAAAATTCATTCATATAATTTATAGAAGCAATAATAAATTTTAATAAAACATAAAAAAAAATTTATGGATGAGCAAAAATCAAAAATATTGTAATAATGATGTTAAAAAATTGATTTAAAGTTTTTGTTGAAGTCTCAACTCTTATTAAATGATTATACACTTTTTTTTATATAACTAATTTAATTAACGTTGAATATTGTAGATAACATATATATATATTTATATATGTATATATAATATATATAAGTATGTTCATTATTTTTATTAAACTATATTATGTAAAGATATATAAAATTACAGCAATTTTTTTTAGTATATCGAATGAAGGCAATGAATTTTACCTTTTTCACTTTTAAAACTTATTAAATAAATAAAAAAAGTGAAAAGAAATAAAAAACATTTATGATGGTAAATTAAAATGTAAAGACCAAAGAAGAATACATTTTATTTTAATATTGTACAATTCAAAGAATACAATGAATTTATAATTTTTAATGAATTTATATTACTTTACGCCATATTTTTATAGTACTTTTTTTTTTTTTTTTTTTTAATTAAAAAATTTTAATAATTGTTTAGAATCCATTATTGAAAATGGGAAACTTTAAAAAATATAATTATATGAACAGTTAATATAAAAAAAAAAAAAAAAAAAAAAAATAGGTATTTTTGCGTTCAGAATTGTTCTGTTTTTTTTTAGTTTTTTTTTTTTTTTCTACACAATTATAATAATTTTATTTGTAATATTACTCTGGAATTTATTGATATATCATTCATATAATATAAAATTATTATTATATATATATCATATTGTCATTTTATAATGAATTAGCATATCAATTTTCTGAAATAAAGTATATAATATGGACAGTTAAAAAGGTGCAAAATTTTTATAGAACTAAAGCCAACATTGTTATATTGAAAAAATAAAGATCTTATGTAATGATTTTTTATAGAAAAGTTATATGAAGAAAAAAAGAAAAATATATATATTTAAATATATAAAAAAATATATACATTTTATTGGATTAATGTATTAATTTGTGTGTAATATTTTTTTTCACTACAAAATTTAACATGTGTGTGCATAAATATGTGCACACCATAAGAAATTTTATGTTAAAAAAAAAATTACATGTTATTTTATTTTATTTTTATTGCTTCTAATGTAAAATGAATTATTATACTTTTTATTTTTTATATTAGAATTATTAAAAAAATATAAAATTTTAAATTTCTCGTAAAAAATAAAAAATATAAATTTATAAATATGAATATTCTATTAACTTTTTTGTTATGAATTCTTTCTTCATATATTTTAATACTTTTTTTTTTTTTTTTATTCTTTCAGGGTTACAAGTAATATTAAATTTCTATAAAAGATGTAAATAATAATAATAATATAAAGGTAAGCTAAAATTTTTATGATTGTAATTTAAGTATTGATATTTCTTCTAATTATATGGAAGTATATAAAACTGCAACTAATATAAAAATTTAAAAAATTGGATATTTAAAAATGTTGTTCTTTAAAAATATAACGTATAAAAATTGTTATATTTATTTTGGATATTTGTTTACATTTTATTAGTTATCTAATATAAGAAATTTCATTAAATATGTATTCTATATATTTTATAAATATATGCAAAATAATATATATGTTTTTTCTTATTAATTACTTAGAAATTTTTTTTTTCATTTGAGTTTATGAATTTTTCCTTCAAACTTCTTCATCTAAATGGATTAACGTTTGCAGTAAATATTAATCTATTTTTATTTGGATAAGTTTCATAAATATTAGAAAATGGTTTTATTTATTTTATTAACCTTTTATAAAAGCTACTTTTTTTTATGGGATTAAAGAAGAATTAAAAAGAAGAATGAGTGTAGATTAAATTATATTTTATTTTTAAATTATGAAATATACATATATATTAAAATGAAAAATATAAAAAAAAAATTTTATCTTTTTATTTACTTCTTCATTAGTATCTTTAAGATTAACTTTATTTTTTTTTTCAGAAGCAACATAAGCTATTTCGTTGCGAGCGTTTTCAGTTTTCAACATACTTTTCTTTGATGAAAAAAAAGTATTTTTCATAGACACTTCTGAATAATTATTCCAGGGGTAACTTTGATAAAATTTGTATATATTTAAATTATCGTCAAGTAAACTTTTATTTAAAAAATGTATTTTGTTATTATCATGATAAATAATCTCATTTATATTTGTAATACTATTTGACATATATTGATAGTCATCTTCTAGTCTTTTAATTTCCTTTTTTTCCTAATAATATGAAATAGTTCAAATAAAATAAAAAAATTATATGTAAAACCCTTTTAATTTAAATATAAAAAAAAAAAAAATAAAATAAGTTTATAATTGTAACTTTCATAATAGAACATATGACATTCTTATAAGTGTACATTATGTCTTCAAAAAAATCACGTTCTTCTTTAAGTAAATATAATATCTAATTAAAACATATATTTAATATCCAATGAAGTATTAAAAGTTTTTTATATTTTATAAATTATAATTTTTAAATATATATTTGAATAATAATGTAATCCCAAATTTTTACATTTTCACTATGTTTCAATCCATATTTACTGAACTACATTTTTACTATTAATGTTATTTTCCTCTATGATTATTATTTTTATTTCTAATATATTTATTTTTTTTTTTTCTTCTTTCATTACATCACTTTCAACTGAGTCCGCATAATTTATAAAATGCTTATAAATGAGATTTTTTCTGTATATTAATATTTCTTCATTCTATATATTATTAATGAAAGACATTTTATTTATATTAAATTTAAAAAAAAAAAGAAAATGTGTGTTTGAAATCAGTGAGACATTAATTTTTTGAAAAATATACCTCCTCTTTTTCTGCATTAAATTTTGTAAATTTTTCATAAACTTCACAAATATTACTTATTTTATTATTATTATTGTAAAAAATAACAATTATTTTATTTTCTGGTATTAAAAAGACTTTTTTGTAGATTGCATTTTTCATATTCTAAGATGTAGAAGAATAATATTAGAGTTAAATATAATGAAATAAAATAAAAATAAAATATATCATAATTTTTCTAAAAAAGTTAATATGTGAAATTTTTTTTTTATATAGAACCTTATTTTTATACTTCACAGTAATTTTTGTTACGTAATATTCATTTCCCTCAAAACTCTGAAAAATAATACACATTTTATATATTTTTTTTGCAATTGTAATGTATATATATATATATATATAGATATATTTCTTATTAAATGTAATAATATATACTTGTAGCTTGTATATAGTTTTAATATTGTCTGAAAGTTTCACAGATCTATATATTATACTGAAAAAAATTTAATAAAATATGATATTTATTTACAAAAATAAATAAAATATTTTTTTCTCTTTTGATTTTATACTTATCATTTCTATTCACATAATATTCCATTAATTTGTAACTTTTTATCTGAAATTGATAGTTGTAAATTATTTGATTATTTTCGTCGAGGTATTTTTATTTTTATTTTATGTTTTCTTTTTACCTCAAAATAATAAATTAACCCATCTGACCTAAAATAAAGCAAAAAGATTTATATAAAAAATTATACATACACATTTATACACATATGTACCCACCTATTTGAATAAAATTTGAAATATGAATAAAATCCTATTATCTTTTAAAAACAGAAAAAAAAGGAAAAAAAAATTACATTATTTTTTCTTTTAATTTTAATATGTGGATTATTCCTATTTATATACTTGTTCTAATTTTTTTAAAAATTGATGACTATAATCATCATAATATTCAATAATCTTAAATTTTTGTGGTAAATATATTTTAGCTATTTTTTTATCTCTGAATATGTAATGTATTAATGTAAAAAATTATTGTTAATATCTATTAAAAATTTTTAAAAAGATGCTGAATTTTTTTTGAAAAGTTTCTTTACCTTCTATATTTATAAAAGCTACAAGTATAATCAATACTCGTATAATATTTATTCTCATAATGAGTATGCATTTCTATTAATCCATCATGCTAAATAATAATAAAAAAAAAAGAAAAAGACAATAATTTAAATAGGAAGTTACATATATATGCTTACAATTTTATATCATTATAATTAATTAATTAATTATTCTCTTTTTTTTTTTTGTATATTAAAATTAACTTGTAAAAAATCTCCGTATTCATCTTTTTTGCAATTCTCATAAAAAGTTGTATTACAACCTATACATACAAGTGTATATTATAAAATGAAAAAAAATATATATAAGCAGAAATTCTAAAAAATATGGTAATAATAACAAATACCATGAGGATATTTTAAAAGAAATCTGTCTTTTCTAATTTTATAGAATTTATTTTCAATAATGGGATTTAAGGTCTTCTGTAAAATATATATTTATATATATATATTAGAGAAAGTTATTAAAAATAATAAGATTTAAACATTTTCTAGAATTTTTTTTTTCACTTTATTTTTAAATTCTTCATAAAATGCAGGGACAAAATATTCCTTATTTTTAATTTCTGATATTAATGTATTCATATTTTCAGTTTTATTTATGTTAATCTTAACGAAAAAAGAAAAATATTTATTTAAAATTATAATGTTATTAGATTCAAAATGAAATAAAATAAAATTTTTACGTAAATATTTTTTTCGTTCCATAAGTAAAAAATAGACTTATAAGGGCAATTATCAATATTATATTCTCTACCTTTCAGGGAAAAAAAAAAAAAGAATATATTAAATACACACTTAACAATTTACACTTATAGCAGAAAAAAATAAAGCACCTGACGACATTTCTATAAAAATATCCTTTTTTAGATCTAAGCTTTTTTTTATAAGAATCCACATATGAACATAAAAATCATTATCAGAGATTATTTTTTTCTCTTCAAATTTAATATTTCTTAACTTCAATTTTTTTTATTTTTTGTGTGTAAATAAAAAATATTGTATTATTTATATGCACATTCATAATTTTTTTTTTTTCTTTTTATATTTACCTGACTTTTGTTAATATTCAATACTTTTTCGTATTTCCTCTTTTTTTCTTTTATTTCAGGTATATATTCCTATATATGTTTTTAATCAAATTTATTTTTATATTATATTATTTAAATTTGTTTTTATTTTATTTTTATGTTAAATAGCTGTAAGAATACTATACATTTTTTTCTTTTGATTGTTTAAATTCTTTTAAATTAAAGTCGCAAAATAATTTTTTCTGCAATTTTGAAAAATTTTGTAATAATCATATACATTTATGTAATTATAGTTTATTTATTTATATATTTATTTTATTTTTTTTTTTTTTTTACATCATTTTTAGAACAAATATAGAAAGGTGCTTCACCACATACAACATAAGCTTCATAATTTTTTGCTAAAATATAAATATAATTTTACATACAGATGATTATTTAGATAATTATATTTAATTATTACATAATAAATTTTTCTAGTAAAAATAATGAAAAAAAGAAAAAAAAAAAAAAAAAAACTAAATACACTTATTTTTTTTGTTTTATTTTTTTAACTTCTTAAAGAAGAAACAACTATAGTTGATAGATCTGCGCAATCAGCTATCTGAAAATAGAAATTTTTATTTTTGAAAAAAAAAATAAGAATAAGATAAAATTGATATGAATACCTTCCAATCAAATACTCGCGATACATCTGGAAGTAGCAATGTTTTAATTTTTTTTTTTAAAAGTATTTCATATGTAAAGTAATTTTTAATCAAAGAATATATTTCCTTATAATTATTTCCTTTGCTAAAAAGAAGGAAATAAAATAAAAAAATTTATTATTATTATATATACTCATTTAAAAAATTAAGCTTAAATAAAATAATAATTAAAATAAGAATTAAATGATTTTATATATATATATATATTACTCAAATGGAAAAAAAATTTGTATTATTGAAGAACATAAATTTCTTTTGTTTCCATATTCATCAATAAAAAATTCACAAAATTCAATGTTATATTTTTCCCTTAGCTAACAAATTTTTATATATATAAAGAACATTATATAATCTTTGTTCATATTAATTTAAGCTATTCTTAGTAACCTTTATTTTTAGCGTTTTCAGATAATTTAATATAATTTTTTCTTTATCTGATGGTAATATGTTGCTATAATTTTGTATGATTGCTTCTTTATTACTCTTCAAATACTTTTAATAAGAATATATAAATGTATTTATATGCACATTTTTTTTCTTATATTTTTTTATACTTTTTTTCAATTTTGTTATTACATCTAAGCATCGTTTGAGTTTATTTTTATTTTTCATTTTTTCACTAATAAACTTTTTAAAAAATATATAATCTTATTTTTTAAAAAAGGTAAAAAATATTTATAAAAATCTGCAAGGATATAACTGAGTGAATAATTTTAAAAATAGAAAATGCACACACCTCTAAAATAAAAAAATATTTAAATTTAAATAGTATAGCTTATATTAAGTCAAACATAAATGATAAGTAATTAAAAAGTATTGAAAAGAAAAACTAATATAAGTGAAAAAAATTAGTTATAAAAAGGATGTTAAAGAAAAAAAAGAAGAAAAAGCAAATAAATAAAAAAAAAAAAATAAAAAAATAAGAAAAAAGTAAAAAGAAAAGAAGAAAAAAGAAAAAAAAAAAAAAAAAATATTAATAATAAAAAATTAAAAATGAAGAAAATTATATATGTTATGGAAACATTTATTTATACAATTTGAATTCAATATATATAAAGCATTTTGTATTTTAAAATGAAGAAAGATAAAATAAAAGAAAAATATATAAAAGCTTTGTTCATTGAAGTTGAAAACGATAAGATACAAAATAATGTAGAGCAGTCTACTTATAATTTTTTTTCTAGTGTAAATTATGATATATATGTTTTCAATAAGAAATTTTATAAATTGAAAAATTTGTATGAGGTCGATATTAAGAAGACATTATTATTATACTTATTTAAATATAATTTTTATATTCCTAAAATAATAAAGTAATAAAGAAAATTAAATAGAAAACATATCAATAGGAAAAATAACATTTTTATTTATTTATATTTTATTTTATTTTTTTTTTTTTTTTGATATTTAATAGAAGAATAATTTTCAAAAAAATTTTGCTCCAAAATGAGAGTAAAGATATTCAAAATTTTAACTACAACATTTATCTCTTATTGTCTTATATAAAAAATCCAAATATTAATGAAACAACTCAAGTAATAATTAATTAAAATTTTTATTTATTAAAAAGTATATTACTTTTTTTATTTATTTATTAAATCTATTTTCTTAACAGAAAATAATTGATTTAGACGTATTCAGAACGAGAATTAATAAAGAAAATGAAAAAACTGTATATTTTTTTAACCTTTTTTTAAATTACGCTTGTAGTTATTTCCAATTTAAATATAAGCAGGGGTTAAATGAAGTTTTAGGTATTTTATGTATATATTTTATGTTTTCCCTTTTTTTCTAAAATATCTTTTATATATTACTTAAATTTTTTATATATTATTCAAAAATATTATGTATATATAATTATGTTTTAATATATATTTTTTTATTTCACGTCTATATTTTATTTTATTATTATTTTTTTTTTTTTTTCCTAGCTCTTTTTTTTTATCTAAAAGGGAAATATTTTAATATGATTGATGTTTATTTCTGTTTTCAAAATTTTGTTGAGAAGTATATAAAATAATTATTATAGTAAAAAAATATTTATTTATTTTAAACATTTATTTTTTAATTTTAATTTTTTATTATTTGATTTGTATAATTCTATTTTTTTTTTTTTTTTTTTTTTTTTTTGTTTTTTTTTTTATTCCTTATAGGTTTCTAAAAGAATTTTATTATGATGATGAATTTTTTTTTTTACAAATATCATTTTATCTCTTTAAACTATTAATTAAATACCATGATCCTTTGTTATCAGAAATATTAGGTTAGAAAAAATGTGTTACACTATATTTTATTTCTTTTTTGTTTTTTATTTTTAAATAAATATTACTCATATCCTTTTTTCTTTTTTATACATTTATAGAAAAGAATAAAATGACGCCAGAAATTTATGCTTCTTCATGGTTTTTGACTTTATTTGCATCAAAAAGCAATCTCAGAATTTTAAATATAATATACTTAATTTTTTTATTGGAACATAACCCTTTTTTTTATTTTTTTTTTTCTTTAGCTCTTTTAATCTTACATAGGTATATAAGACTTTTTGTAAAATGAATAATATCTATATATACATTTATTTGAGTTATGAAACATGAATAAATATATTATTATTATTTATGCTATATTTCTGTTTTCATATATTTTTTTTTTTTTTTTTTATAGAAATGTATTTTTGTGTGTAGATAATTCAAATTTACCAGAATTATTAAGTAAAATAAATATTTTTAATAAAAAGTTTCTAAAAAAAGTAAAGAAAAAAAAGATAATGAAATAATAATAATATTAATAATAATAATAATATTAATAATAATAATATTATTAATAATAATAATATATGCATATATATATATATATATATTGTGTTTAGGTATGGTCTTTAGGAAAGTTTTTAGAAAAAAATACTCCTATATCTTTTGTTCACAAATTATTTTTTATTAAGAATATTTTGATTTATTTGACGAATGAAAATTCAGCAGAAAATTATAATAAAAAAAATATTTTGTTAAATTTTTTTAAATCAATCGATTATATGTCTATAAATTCCTATGAGATAAAAAAGTAAAAATATTTTTTAATATATAAACATATATATAATAAAGTTATTTTTATTTTATTTTATTTTATTTTTTTTTTTTTTTAAAGAAATATTTCTTTAGGAAATGACAAATATATATTTTTTGATATTAGATCAAATTATCATTTTAATTCATTTCATATGAAAAATTCCATTAATATAGAATTAACTAATAATTACATAGAAATATTAAAAAGTATGAAATTAAAAAAAAAAAAAAAAAGAAAAAAATTATTACATTTCTATTTATATAATATTTTTTTTTTTTTTTATACTTTTTATTAATATTTTTTTTTTCGTTTTTCAGATAGAATCGATCTACAAAATAAAAATAAAAAAATAAAAAAGGAAACAAAAATAGTGGACAAAAAGATATTTTATATTTTAAAAAAATACAATAATCAGGAAATATCACGAAATGATAAATTACTTTTCATTTTTTTATTAAGGAGTAAATATAACTTAAAAAATAATATTACATATGATGATAACATATTATTAAAAAAAGTCATTGTAAATTCAACTGTATCAAATAAAATTAATTTTGGAGCTTTAGAGAGAAAAAAACGAAAAAGTAATAAAAAAAAAAAAAAAAGAAAAAAAAAAAAAGAAATATTTAAAGGTATAAATTTACTAAATGCCAAAAAAAATCAATTGATTGATTTAAATTTATTTTTTTTTGATACTTATAAAAATAAAAAATATCATAAAGTACAAAGTAAAAACTATAGAATTAAATTTAAATCAGTTGAACAAATAAATTATAAGTATATAGAACAAAAAAAAATATATAGTTGTAAAAAATACTACTCAGATGATGATATTTTATCAAATCCCTTTAGTTTAACATGTTATTATATTAAAAATAATTTTCATTCAAAAATAGAAAAAGTAACTGATAAAAACTATACTAAAAATCCTGAAATAAATAAAACAAATACTAATAATTTAAAAGTTAATATAGAAACATTAAAAAATACATATTCAACAGAAGCAAACAAAAAAAAGGATTTTTCATCAGAAGATAATAATTTAATAAATATATCAAATAAAATTAAAAAAAAATCAGATTTTCTTGAACAAAATTTAAATATAAGCTCCTTTAATTTATATTTATTAATAAAAGAAAAAGTTCTAAAGAATGAAGATTGCTTGAAATTTTTATTCATAAATATTTTAAATTCAAATAAGCATATAATTATTTTGTATGACGAGAATTTTAATAATACTAAAAATGTAAGAAAATTTTATTTTGATTTAATATATAATTTAAAATTAAAAAATGTATCCATTATTGAAGGAGGAATTAATTCTTTTCATAACTTAATTAAAAAAAATGAAATAAATTTAAAAAAAAATACAACATCAAAAGATAAAAAATTTAATGATGTGTATTTTTCGTGTAATATACATAAGAACAGAAAAAAGTTACATCAATTTCATCAATCAAAATTATGTTATTTATGTGAAAATAAAAATATTAAAAATGTGAAGAAAAAAATTTTAGATGAATTTTTTTATGAGATATATAACGACTTTACAATTTTTGAAGATTTCTATTATTTTTTGACTGAAAAAAGGGGCCAAATTAATTTTTTATCATTCATTGATTTAATTAAGCAAAAAAAATTATTAGAAAGTATACATCATAATAAGAAAAAAGAAAATGAATCATCTACATTCCCATTATCAAACATAATCAATTTTATTAAAAGAAAAAAAGTTGAAAAAGAAAAGAATACATCTGTTTTAAGTGTGAATAAAGAACATAGTAGAAGTAATGATAATGATAATGATGATAATGATGATGAGGATGATGATGATAATGATAATAATAATAATAATGATAATGATAATGATATTAATAATAATAATAATAATAATAGCGTTGATGATAATAAATATTTTACTCCCAGAAAGAATAGTAATTCTTCATTAAATGAAAAGGATATATACAATAATGATCAAATAAAAAAAGAATATTTTAATTTAAATTACTATCTAGATTATTATAATAAAAAGAAAAATGAATTTTTAAATTTACCTTCAACTATGGAGAAAAAGTACATAAAAGATGATGATTTATGTAATGTTAGGAAAAGTAGTAAATTCAATGAATATAATTTTGATGAGAAAATGGATATAAAAACAAAATACGAATATTGTAATAATAATAATAATAATAATAAAGACCATTTTAAAAATAATTTAAATGAAAAAATGCAAAAACGGAGAGATACTAAAGAGATATATAAAGAATCGAATGATAACCTTTTTCAGAAAAATCAAAAGCTTACAAGTAGTAATGAATATGAAAAAAGTAAACACAATAGTCATTCATATATATATAATTTATATTCATACATTGATATATTATGTTATAATAATTTATTATACAAAGATAAATGCAAAATTTACAATTGTTTTATAGTTTATGTTTATCAACCTTTAATTCCACATAATATCAGATCAAATAATATTATTAGTAGTTTTATTCAATATGTTAAATATATTAAAAATGTTAAAAAAAACAATAATTTAATAAATGACCCCAATATATATTTAAGTTGTAATAAATTAAACTCAAATTTATTTTTTAATTTATCTTATTTCCCTTTTAATAATTTAAGAAAAATTAATTACCCGAATTCCTATTTAAATAGTACTCGTCATGAAGTTGAAAATGAAAATTCAGTTAAGGATAATTTTTTATATCAAACAGTTAGAGAGGAATTAACTCAAAAAAAACAACCAATTCATAAGAATGAAGATGAAGATGAATATGAAGAAGAAAAAGAAAAAAAAATAAATCAAAGGGAAAGGAATAAAGAAAAAAATTATAACTCTTATGATGAAATACTAAATGATTCTATTTTAAATAATACATGGATAAAAAATAAACCTGAATTAGGCTTATGTAAACTAATGATTTATGACCATCTTTTAATTTTATATGGAACACCGTATTTATATGATGTTAATATTTTAATAGACAAAAAAAAGAAAAAGGAAGACATAAATAATTATATTTTTAATTGTGATAAAGAAGAATTAAAAAATTTAGAAAAAAATAATAATGAAAATTATAATACCTTAAATGAACAAAATTTAAAAAAAAACTTTAAAGAAGAAAAAGATGAGTTAAGTAGTCATACTGATATTGGAATTCTAAATTTTTTAAAAGAAAAAAAAGAATATAATAACAAAGAATATCATAATTTAAAATATTATGACGATTTATTGCAAAAGATGATAATACATAAATATAAAGACTTAAAAAAAAAAGATATTTTATTTAATATTGACTGTTATAAAATGAATAGTATTTATTTAAATTGGAACCTTTTGTCTGATCATTTATTTAATAGTATAACTAAAGAGCATATAAATGATACATATAATTATTATAAATCATATTTCAATTTATCTAAAAATAATTTGTCAAATAAAAAAGGAAAATCATATTATTCAAGTTCCTCATCTAGTAACAATACTTGTTCTTATATCTCCGATGAACATGATTTCTCCTTTTCAGATTATCACAGTTTATATATGAAAAATATGAAAGTAATAAAAAATTCAAAGAGTATAAATCAAAATAAAAAATCCAATTATGAATATCTTAATATGACAGTTGATGCAATTAATGTTTATGCTGTATTTGATTTACGCACTATTCATAAAATAACAACAAAAAGAAATTCGGATAAAACCCTTTATTTCTATTTTGCAACAAACAGGGTACAGTAGTTTTTAATTTTTTTTTTTTTTATATATTTATAATTATTTATTCATTATAATTCTATTTTTTTTTTTTTTTTTTTTTTCAAGAATATACCTTTGATGATTTTAAATTTCGAAAACGAGGTCGAGGTTCAATCATGTGTTTATTCAATTAAAGAAGTATACTCATGTTTTGCAAATAAGAAATAGAGCTTAATTAAAAACATTTCTTTTATTAATACTTAAAACTCAGTATATAAATTTTTTTTTTTTTATGCATTATAAAGTTTTTTTTATTTGATTTTATATTATACTATGTTCTATATTAATAATAATATTTGCAAGTAAAAATACTTTCACTTAATTATTTTTTTTAAATATTTATAAATACTTGTAAGTATAACTCAAAAATATCAGGGATGATATACATATTTTTAAAACAAAGTTCAAATTATATATATTTTTTTTTCTTTTTAGACAAATTACAAATATTTATTGCAACTTAAAAAAAAAAAAATATATATATATATAAACATATAGTATGATAAAATAATTAATAAATAAAAAAAAAAAAAAAAAAAAAAAAGTTTTTTTTTTTTTATATAATCAACAATTAATACAAAATATACAAATAAAAAATTATTAAAAAAGATAATATGAATAAATATATATTTTATTAGATAATAATATTTTTTCATCAAAATACTCATTACACATATAAACGAGTATGTTATTTATTAAAAGGTAAAAACACAACATTGTAATTTAATGGAAGAAAAAGTTAAATAATTATAAATAAAAATGCAAAAATATAAATGTATATTAATTTTAATTTTAAACAAAGATATGTGATATTAAAAGTATAAAAAAATATAATAGTACGAAAGGGACAGTTTTTTTTTTTTTTTTTTTTTTTTTTTTAAATCACACATGTATTCATACAAAAAATTATAAAATATGATTCATATAAAAACATTCTTGTAGCTTAAGAAATTTCTGTCAAGGATGGTGCTCTATACAAAATTTTTTGATTATTTAAATCTTCATCTTTGTTGGGTAGAGTATTATTTATATATTCATAACAATTATTACAGCAATCATCTCCTTTATTGCAACAATAAGGTTCATTATTAGGATAATTATATTTTATGTTATCTAAATTTTTATCATAATTTCCAAAATGAGAATTATTTTCATTATTATATTGAAAATTGAAGATTTGATTACTATTACAATTTTGTTGATTTTCATAATTTGAATGATTATTAAAATTTTGATATTCACAGTTTGCTTCATTGTTTTGATATTGCTGATTATTATAATATTGTTGATCTTCATAGTTCTTTTGGTTATCATCTTTATATTGATAATGGTAATTTTGTTCATTTTTATAATTATGAAGATTACTATTATATTTCTCTTCATTATATTCCATATTATTATAACTTGGCTCATTAATGTAGTGAATGTTAGAAATACTATTATAGTTGTTTTTTCCATATTGGCTATCATTTGAAACATTGTAATTAACTTCTCTCTGATAATCAACTGCATTTTCTTCATTTATATAGTTATTTTGAAAATTACAATTATTATTATGATTATTTTCGCATTTTTCCTTATTATTGTTCATTATGTACTCATCTTCTATTCCATTTTCATAGTGGTGAGCCAATATTTTTTTTATTCTATTAGAATTTATCCATGGAAAGTTAGTTCTTCTTACTCCTTTAATTTCATTAGGCGTTGTTTCCCCTTGAGGACTTGATAAAAAAAATGAATCTTTATGAACTTCATTATTTTTTTTTAAAAGACATGTTTTTTCACAGATAGATCTTGGTGTTAAAGTTCTGTCTAAGTTATCTCTAGCTTGTTTAGGGAGATTTAATCTTTCTCTTTCAAAAGGGCCATCAGGATTTGCATAAGGAGGGTTCCTATTTTTTATTATTGGTAACTTGTCACTTCTTTTTGCGTCTTCAGAAACTGTTAAAAATCTATCATTTTCTAAATTTGACTTATTGTGTGGAGCAGATTTTCCCATAATTCTTTTCCATGTATGATAAGTTTTTTCTAAATCATATTCATCAATATTTATATTTACAGTTGCACTTCCACTTTTTCTACCTACACATATGCTCATTTTACCTTGCGTGTCAGGAACTAGCTTAGTTTCAAAAAATTGTTGTTGATTGTCATAGGTGGAATACGAGATCAATGGTCTTTTGGCTGGAAAAACTTCCACTGGTTTATGATCTGCATGATTTAAAGCATCTTTCATTTGTGAACTATCACTATTTACATTTGATATTTTTTTTCTAGAATTTATATTTAGCTCTGTAATTCTATTACAAACAACACCAGCATTTTTATTTTCATCTATATATGTACCGCAATTTTGCATTACAATTTTTTTCCCAAATCTAGCTTCTACGTTTTCTTGAGGTACTATAGGATTTGATATATATTTTCTTTGTTGCAACATTTTTGAAAGATAATTTAATTTGTTATGATGAATATATATAGAGAGTGTTTATAATATAAATAAGCCACAAAAAAAAAAAAAAAAAAATTAAACAAAATTTAATAGTATTACATAAAAACAAAAACTATAATAAAAACAAAAAATACATGGAATTTTATATTTTATTCTACATTATAACATTTGTTATTTTCCTGTCTTTTTTACTTTCTTAAATTTTTTTTTTTTTTTTTTTTTTTTTTTTGGAGATGTTAAATTCTTAAACTATTTTAAAATATTTTATTTTATTTTTTTTTTTTTTTGTAAAATTTTATATGCAGCGATTAATAATTTAAAGTATAGTTGTGCAAAATACAATATTTTCCTTATGTGAGTTTTTTTTTTTTTTTGTAACATAAAAAAAAAAATAAATTGAAAGTTGTATTTTCTTATCAAATGCTGCAACTAATATAAATGCTATTATGTGTTTATAATTTTATTTTTTCATCTTTTATAAAGTTTGCTCTATTTTTTATTATTCTTAAGATACTTAATGCTATATCATACTTTATAGAACAATCACCATACAAGACTTAATAGAAAAAAGGAATTGAATAAAAAAAAAAAAAAAAATTACAAACCATAATACTTAATCATTCAGACATTATATATACACAATTTAATTTTTCTTAAAATTTCATTAGATTTAATAAGAAATTAATTATTTAGATTAGATAATATTCATTTAATGTTTTTTGTTTTTTTGTGCACACATTTACAAAAGTAACCTTATCTATATATAGAAAAGTTAGTTGAAAAAAAAAAAAAAGAAAAGAAAATCAATCTAAAAAAACATAATAAAGAATAAATAATAAAAAATAAAACGTAAAATATATATTTAAAAGTAAATTATTGAATAAATAATAAAAAATTGTCTATTAAGTACCATATAAGAAATCATAAGTATAAAATATTAGAAGAGAAATAATAGTTAATAATTAAAAAGTTATATACAAAAAAAAAAAAAAAAAAAAAGTTAAAAATAGAATAATAAAGATCTAAACAGAAAAAGTCCTTAGAAATAACAACAATAAAAATTACATTATATTAACCTAAATATTTATTATATCATAACATTATTTTTAGATGTACTAACATCCTCTAATTTTGAAACATATTTCTTAAAACCCTTTATTTCTATACTTAAATTTTTTTTGACACACACATTTTTATTTATACCATATTTTTTATTTTATATTAATTTTTATATAAACTATTTTTAGATATTATAAATGTTCTCAAATAAAAAATAAGTATATTAGATTAGGTGAGATTCTTTAAATATGATACCTATTTTTTTTTTTTTTTTGAATATCAAATAGTAAAAAAAAAAAAATTGCATATAAAAAATCTCAAAAGTTAATTCAGAATCTTCCAATAAAAATTTATTTTTTATTATCTTAGCCCCCTTAAATTTTTTTTTTTTTTAATAGCATTCGAAAACACAAAAAATTATTTTAAGAAGAAATAGAATAAATAATAAATAAACTTCTTTATTTTAAAATTAAAAAAATATTACTTTTGTAACATTCCATAAAATTTTCAGATGATTATTTTTAAATTTAAAAATTCTTGATACATTTAGCTTCAGAAAATTATCTTTTTTTTGGTGTAAAGTTCATAATTTTTTTAAAATCATTCTTTAATTTTAAACATGTGTAATATATATTTTTTTTCTTTTTTGTTTAGATGAAATTATAATCTATCGAAAATTTCTGGAAATTAGAATATTAATTATATGTTTTTCTGTTTTAATAAATAAATGAACTCAAAATTTTTCTTTTTATTCTTTCTTTTCATAAAAAAAAAAAAAAAATACACTTCAAAAAATTTATTTTTTCATTTAAACTATTGAAATATAACTTTCATAGCATTTTTAAATTAAAAATAAATGAACTTTTAAATTATGTACATATATTTATATATATATCTAATATAAAAATAATTGTGTAATAAATGAATTTATATTAAGGTTAATAGACTGTAATAAAAAAAAAAAAAAAAAAAAAAAAAAAAAAGGAAAAAAAATTGTACACATACTTGAGAATAATAAATAAAAATTTATTTTAAAAAACCAAAGGATGATACATCCCATCATAATTCTACAATAACATTCCTTTGATACGTCATATGAAAAATATTTGTAAAATTATTATTAAAAGAAAATAAATGAAATAATAAAAATATTTTTTTTTTTTTTTTTTTAAATATTTAAAATGAAGTTTAGCAAAAAATTATATGAAAGAGCCCACCCCAAATATAGGGAACATTATATCGCATATAAAGAATTAAAGAAAGTGATAAAATTAATAACTGGTAATAAATGAAACAATTAAATTTTTTATATTGTAATTTTTTGTTTAATAAATATGAATATTACTATTTTTTTAAAGTAATATATATATTTACATATATTTCTAAAAGTATATTTAATTTAAAAATTAAGGAAACCAAAAAAAAAAAAAAAAATGCATTAAATTACATTTCTTTCATTAAAAAAAGACCGAAATAATTGTTTCCAGAAATTATATTAATGATTATATAAAAATAATAAGGATTCATATTTATTAAATTTTTTTTTTTTTTTTAGGTAAGGATACCTCTACATATACAATTAGAGAAGTTACTAGTAATTTTGGAAATATAAGAGCATTAAGCGGGACAGAATATAAATCAACTGAATCAAGATTTCAAGATATATTAAATTCTGAACTTGAAAAAATTAATAAATTTACATTGAATATAATTAAAGATTGGTATAATGAAGCAGAATTTTATTATAGAAAACTAAAAGAAGAATGTTTTTTAGACTTAAAATCTGTGGAAACTAAGCTTACTGAATTAGGTGATACATTAATATTTTTGGAAAGCTATAAAAATATAAATTTTATGGGGTTTCGTAAAATAACGAAAAAGTTTGATAAACACAGTGATAAAAATGTAAGTTCATCCTTTTATATCAGCGTTGTAATAAAAAGTTTTTTTATGAATTTTGATATGAATTTTTTGGTATGCATATTATCATTATGTTATAAATATTTTAGAATTATGAAAAATAAACATAATAATGTTGATCAAAGATCATCAAAAGAAATTAACTCAAACAAAAGCGAAATAGTAGAAAATAATGATAATGATAAAAACAATAATTTTCATGATCAGGAAGAAATAAATTTAAATGAAACTAACATGCAAAATATACAAAAAACTACATGTTATACCTTAGATAAAAATAATGATGTTATAAATGATGAAAAAGGAAAAACTTATTTTAGAGAAGATAATTTAAATGTTAAAAATGCCAAATATATTGTTAAATTACAAGATTTAATAACAGTTAAAATAGAGATAGCAAAACATTTTACTTTTCGATATTATGACTTAGAAGAATATGAGTTTATTCCCAATATTAAAAGATTCATAGAAATGATATCTACTAATAAAATTCAAAATTATATAATTACCATTTATTTTGATGATCCTACTTTAACCACCTATCATAATTTTGTAAATAGAAATGTTTCTAATGTAAATGAATATATTCGAATACGTTCATATAATTATATAAAAGGAAAAAATCATGAAGAAAAAACATCACTTCAACATTTTAATATATATGAACCTAGTCATGACAACAATGAAAAATATATATTATTGAAAGATTTATCCTCCACTAATTTAAAAATAGAAAACATTAATGACTTACACAAATTAAAAGAAAATATTATTTATAGCTCTGAAGAAATAAACAAGAAGGACCAAGAAGAAAATAGCATTAATGAAAATACTACTATAACTAATGATTTAGATGAAAAAAAAACAAAAAAAAAAAAAAAAGACTATTTAATGAAAAATTTTAATGATAATAGAAATGATAATTTTCTCTTGGAAAACAAAGACTATTTTATGGAATTTATGAAACAAATAGAAACAAAAAAATTGAGAAGTTATGTAAAAAGTAAATTAAATAGATTATATTTTAATGATGAAAATATTTCCGGTTATATTGATGAAAATATATGTTATTGGACTCATAATGACAAAAAAAACATATATAAAAATGAGGAAAGTGATGATGAAGAAGAAGAGGAAGAAAAAGAGAAAGAAGAAGAAGAAGAAGAAGAAGAAGAAGAAGAAGAAGAGGAAGAAGAAGAAAAAGAGAAAGAAGAAAAAGAAGAAGAGGAAGATGCAAAAGAAGAAAAAGAAGAAAAATATAGTTCTATTAGCAGAAGTGAATATTATCATCAAAATAAGAAATCATATAATAAAAATTTTAAAAAAGAATATTTAAGGGATCATAAAAATACAAATAACAAAAAATACTCTTATTTTGATTATGCTGTTATTGATATTAGTACAAAAGAACAAAAGAATAGAGATTTTATCTTTAAATTAAATCATTTAGGAATGGCAAGAGAAATTTGGGGTTATTCTTCTTTTCTTCAAGGAATTTCTTTATTATACCCCAATTGTATATCTACTTATCCTCACTGGAGAATTTACACATGTACAGAGTTTATGAAATTTGAAAGTATTGAAAATTTAAAGAAGAAAAAAAACAAAAAAAAAAAAAAAAATGTCATAGAAGGTAATAGTAAAAGTGATATTAGTATAAATGAAAATATTAATAATTATAAAAAACAAATAAAACAACAAAGTTACAAGACAAAAGATGATTATAAAAAAAGCATTACATATACAGGTGCTTCTGCAAGAATTGCACATGAAAGTGAAGTAATATTTAGAAATGAAATAGAAAAAAATAAACCATCTGTTGATATCGATTTTAGTCATTATAATAATAATAATAATAAAGCACATTTTTCCAATAGTTCTAAATTTTTACCATTAACTAAACCATCTTTAGGAGGAGATAACAATTTATATGAACCACTTTTGGATCCAATAGAAGATAAAACTTATGAGAGAACAAAATCTTCATCGGGTAAAATTTTTTCCTTTTTTAAAAATTTTTTTTTAAAAAAAAATAACACTATTCACAATAAAAGGCCAAAAAATTCAGTAGTTCGAGTGGAACCCAAAACTTTTTTTGCCAACGAAAGAACTTTATTACAGTGGTTAAATACTAGTGTATTATTGTCTACTATTTCTATAACTCTTCTTAACTTTTCTAATACTTACGGATTTACATCTGGAGTTATTATGGCACCTGTGGCTATTTTTTTTATTCTTTATTCCTTCTATATCTATTTAAAAAGGGCTCAAGCTTTAATTAATAAAGAACCTATAAATTATACTGATAAATTTGGTCCAGGTATCTTAGTGATTACCCTAACTTTTTCCTTATCAACTGTTGTCATCTTAAATATTTATAGTCGTTTGAAGGATGATGCATAATCCTTTTTTTTATAATGTATCCTTTTCCTTGTATATATATGATAAATAATAAAATTTTTTATATTAAAAAAAATATAACTTTAAAATTCTAACAGAACTTTAATCAAAATGGCACCTATATAGTGAAAACTTAAATACAAAATGAAAGAAAAAGAAAAGTGACCTATAGTCAACATAAAATATTTAGATAAAAAAAAAACATATTAAAGTATTTCAAAAATAAAAAAATTAAATGTATTCAAATTTATTAATTAATTTTTTTATTATTCACTGCTGTAAAAAGTTTGATAAAATAGTAATTATAATTGTTAGTATTATTAAAATTTTAAGTAAAAAAAAAAAAAAAAAGAAAAAAAAAAAAAAAAAAAAACATTAAAAAATTTATAATTATTAATTATATTAACTTTATAAACAAAACATTTATAATTAAAAAAAAAAAATATGTGCATTTATATATTTCGTATATATTAATTCTACATTTTTTTATAATAATTATTTTAAAAAGTTTAAACATATTAAAAAAAAAAAAATAAAAGAAAATATCACTATTTAATATTTTGTCTTTTTTTTTTTTTCACTTTCAATTGTTGGACACATCCAGTAATTATCAGGAGCTATGTTATCATATCTAAGTGCTTCAGTAAAAATAGCTTGTGCTTTACATTTTTTATTTTTTAACCCATTTTTAGGAACAATACCCTAAAAACAAAAATATATATTTAAATATATATTATTATGTGTATAGATTATTGTACATATGTTATTTAATATATTATTTCATTTTTTATATATTCCATTTAAAATTTCGTGTAAATTTTTTATGTTTATTTTATTATGAAAATATTTTTTAGTTTGCAATATTTTTATACGTTCGTTATTATTATCATCTACAATATTCTATTAATACAATTATTTTTTTTTTAACTTTAAAGATTACAAAATATTTTTAACTTCATTTTAATATATTTAAATTTTTTAATAATTTTTCATTTAATATTAATATACATATATTTTTTTTTCTTTTTTTTTTTGTTTTACCATTTTTGTATGAACAAAAGAATCTTCTTGATTTTTCTTATCACCCTGTTTTTTAAAAGTTACATATGCATCAAATTCAGAAAAGTTTTGAACAATAATATTAGAGCATCCAGGTTTTCTTTCAACCATAATTTCTGTTCTTCCACTAGCTTTATCAGTTACAGCATATTTAGTAGAAAAATATTTACTTATTTCACTGTCATCAATATGTCTAGCTAGATATCTTTTAGGTGTTAATGCATATCCTTTGTCAGAAAAAAAATATTTTGAATTATTCATTTCATTTTCTTCCACGTTATTTTGTATAATGTCTTTTAAAATATCATTACGATAATTCATATCATTTTTTACTCTTCTGTTTCTCATATTAATATCATTTATAATTTCAGATTCTAATCCCGCAAAACTTCTATTCTTTTGAGGATATTTGTAATCATAAGGACAAAAAACTCCATCTTTTTTACTTTTTTGATCATCAGAACAATTATGCAAAATTTCATATATGTTGTTACCATATGAAAAAGTAGATCCATTATATACAGATCTTTTTCTAATATCAAGGTTTCTTAAAAAATCCAAACGTTCAGAACTTAATCCAGCATATTGAGAAAGTTCCATTTTTTTTTAAAAAATGCTTACAAGAAATTAAAAATTAGTAATTTTAAGAATAACTAGCTAAATAATTAAATAGAACAAAAAAAAAAAAAAAAAAAAAGAAAAAAATTAAAAACAAAATTGAAAACAAAAAATAGAGATATTTATAAAAAAATAGAAAAATAATTAGATATATTAGGGAAAATTTAAATACAATATAAATTAAAAAGATATCAAAATTTTAGTATTGTAAACTTTAAAAAAAGATATTTTTGTATATATATATTTATTAACAATAAAATATACATAAGAACAAGAACAAGA